ATGTAAATCCACTTGGACAAAACAAAACAGGAAAGAGAATATTATCCTTAAGAGAATTCTTACCTTATGGAAGAGAAAATGCACATATCTTTTTGGGTGGGAAAGGGGGGGGGGCAGATTTTTTTCTCTCCAAAGCATTAATTGCCACCTAGCAGCAGAGAAGGGAATTGCACACTAACTTTGGACTTCAATTTTAGAAAACGGTTTTAAAGGGCACGTTACCTTTTTTTTTTTAAGATTTATTAAAAAAATTTTTTTTTTATGTTTATTCATTTTTGAAAGACAGAGACAAATCACAAGCACGGGTGGGGCAGAGAGAGAGGGGGACACAGAATCCGAAGCAGGCTCCAGGCTCCGAGCTGTCAGCACAGAGCCCGATGCGGGGCCTGAACTCAGGAACCGTGAGATCATGACCTGAGCCACCCAGGCGCCCCATAAGATTTATTTTTTTAAAGTAATCTCTACACCCAACATGGAGCTTGAACCCACAACCCTGAGATCAAGAGTCGCACACTCCATGGACTGAGTCAGCCAGGCGCCCCTAATGTCCACATTATTTTTTATCATGACCGATATTTAAAGAATTATTAGCCTACTGATAGGTTAGGGTTTGAATTTTTTCTCTCTTGTCATGAGGGAAGAAAAAGAAATACAACAAATGAAAAATTTTGGCTTATTTATAAGAATGCTCTTTCCAGCATAAAATGTCTCAGTTTTTTTGTTTCTCAATTTACCCTTGCCACCTCAGCAATAGGCCAAAGGAAAAGAAATGCTAAAGTCACCCTGACACTAAAAAAATACTGGCTCTGGCTTATTAAAGGAAGAAATGTGTGTTTTTAATACAGAAAGTGGTTTCCCAAATAATCTTGGGTTGGGTTTCTGTAAAAAATGAGATCAGAATAGATTTTATTTTGCTAAGACAATAAGAGGTCATTTATTTTGAAATTTAGAAGACATCTTCCTATACTGGACGAAATGATTTCCAGACCAAATGATTATTCAAATCTGCTGAAGAAGTACATCCTTATTTCAGTTTACCAGTCACATGTTTAGTTTTATAGCACTCACCCATACTGAATGCCAAAACTTTAAAGGAGAGTCTCTATTATTATGTTTCATAGATCTTGGCAGCTAAATAAAAATAACTTCTTGGGGCTCCTGAGTGGCTCAGTCAGTTGGGCGTCTGACTCTTGATTTTAACTCAGGTCATGGGATCAAGCCACGTGACAGGCTCCGTACTGAGCATGGAGCCTGCTTAAGATTCACTTTCTCTCTCCCTCTGCCCCTCTCCCCAGCTGGAGTTCTCTCTCACTAAAAACAAAACAAAACAAAACAAAACAAAACAAAACAAAACAAAAAAAATCTTCTTTCTCCAAAGACATCCAGATGGCCAACAGACACATGAAAAGATGCTCAACATCACTCACTATCAGGGAAATATAAATCAAAACTACAATAAGATATCACCTCACACCTGTCAGGATGGCTAAAATAAAAAACACAAGAAACAACAAGTGCTGGTGAGGATGTGAAGAAAAAGGAAGCCTTGTGCATTATTGGTAGGAATGCAAACTGGTGCAGCCACTGTGGAAAACAGTATGGAGGTTCCTCAAAAAACTAACCAAACATGGGGCGCCTGGGTAGCTCAGTTGGTTAAGCCTCTGATTCAGCTCAGTTCATGATCTCAGGGTTGGTGGGTTCAAGCCCCATGTCGGGCTCTGTGCTGACAGCTCAGAGCCTGGAGCCTGCTTCTGATTCTGTCTCCCTCTCTCTCTGCCCCCTACCTTCTCTCAAAAATAAGCGTTAAAGAAAAAAAACTTTAGAAAAACACAACATAGAACTACCCTATAATACACTACTATTTACCCCAAAATTACAAAAACACTAATTCAAAGGGTTACACACATCCCAGTGTCTATTGTAGTATTATATACCATAGCCAAACTATGGAAATGCCAAGTGTCCATCGACTGATGATTGGATAAAGAAGATGCGGTATACATATGCAATGGAATATTATTCAGCCATCAAAAAGAACGAACTCTTGCCATTTGCAACATTGACGGAGCTAGAGAATATAATGCTAAGTGAAATAAGTTAGTTAAAGAAATACAAATACCATATGATCTCACTCATATGTGGAATTAATAAAACAAAACAAATGACCAAAGGCGGGGAAAAAGATATACCAAGAAAGACTTTTTTTTTTTTTTTTTTTTTTTTTTTTAACTAAAATTCATGCCAAAATGGTGCTTGAATTCATGACCCTGAGATCAACAGTTACATGCTCTACTAACTGAGCCAGCCAGGTGCCCCCCCAAGAAACAAACTCTTTTTTTATATATAGGCTTCATGTGCAGTGCAGAGCCCAATATGTGACTTGAACTCATGACCCTGAGATCAAGACCTGAGCTGAGATCAAGAGTCAGACACTTAACTGAGTCAGACACCCAGGAGCCCTGAAACAGACTCTTAACCATAGAAAGCAAACTGATGGTCACTAGAGGGGAGGTGGGTGGGCAAGATGGGTAAAATAGGTGATGGGGTTTAGAAGTGAACTTCTAATGATGAAAAATAAATAAAATAATTAAAAACTTTCAAAAGGGATTCAAACAAAATTAAATATTTAGGAGGACTTCAAAAGCTAACAAGTTGGAAAAAAGGCTCCTGGCTAAAAATGTAACTTATTTAAGATATTACATATGGAGGAGTGAGTGGCTCACTGGACACTTCCAGTTTGCCACTTTTTACTTAGCTAAATAATAAGTATTGCTACTGTACTGAGTCTATGAGTATATTATCACCAAGGCAACCAGCAACATTTTGGAAAACAAATTCTAGTTTAAAAATAATAATAACAGCTAATATTTTACTGAGTATTCACCATGTACCAGGCAGTGTGTTAAGCACTTTAAATGAAAAATTCACTTAGTCATCACAATAATCATAAAAGATACTAGCCAAAGTATGTCATTTTACAGGTTTAAGCAAGAACAACAACAACAACAATAAAACAAAGGTTCAGAGAGGCGAAATTAGGCATTACAGATCTTAGAATTTGTAAGTAGCTAAGCTCAAATACAAACCCAGTTCTGTCTTAATATTGAAGTGCCCCACTATTCAATTCTTGGAACTCTTTTCTATCTACTCTTTAGTCTGTGGTTCTAAATAACTTCCTTATGATGATGACTCCCAATTTTATTTTATTTTATTTTTTAAAGATTTTATTTTTAAGTAATCTCTATACCCCTCAAACTCACAACCCCAAGATCAAGAGTTGTATGCTCTACCAACTGAGCCAGCCAGGTGCCCTGATGACTCCCAATTTTAGATCTCCAGCCTCCATCTTGCCACTGAACTCTAACTCATATGCCAACAAACTATGCCTTAACTCTACTAGGATGCCTAACAGACATCCCAAAGTTGAAATATTATAAAATCATATCATCATCTTTCTCCCCAAAATCCGCTCCTTCCACCTCTCCTTGATTGCAGTTCACTGCGACTCCATTCTTCCATTTGTTCAGGACGATAATGGCAGCCATTTTGAAATCTCTCTTTCTCTTACATGCCACATTCAACCCATTAGCAAAATGTACTGTTGGGTCCACCTTCTAAATACATGCAGAATCCAACTGATTCCTACCATCTCAGCATTACAATCCTGGTCCAAGCCATTGTCATCTCTCACTTGGATTACTATAAGAGTCTGAATCTTGTTAGTCTGCTTGACCCCTATAATCTGATCTCAGCACATGGGTCAGGATAATCTTTTTAAAATGTCAGTCATGACATTCATCTGTTCAAAATCCTCTTGTAGCTTCCCATCTCAAAGTCTTTACTATGGCCTGAAAGCCTTATATTATCTGTAACCCCTGTCCCATTTCCTCTCTGATTTCATCTCATTATATTCTTCCTCTGGAATTTTGATCTGTTTGTTTATGAGGTATTCTCAGTATCTTAGTGATAATGCTTAGCATATAGTAAGATCAACAAATACATATTGAATGAATGAAAAATATCTGACTCCAGAAATTTTCCTTTTCATCATTCCCTTCTATGGGCATATTGGTGGCTCCGGGAGTTGAAAGTGGTTGGCTGGACTCTTTAGAGCAGTTCTTATATCAAAGCTTCACTTGTGAACCAAAAGAAGAGACATTTGGTCTCTTGGGGTATTAATGGTTTTCAGTTCCTTCAAGAATGATGTGGGGACTTTGCTCAGGGTACAACTTGACTGTTAACCAGTAGTTGCAAATTTGATCAAAAGATCAATAAGGGTATTTAGTAGAAAGAATAGATGAAAAAAGCAGTACTATGCTCCAATTTAAAGGTCATTTTTTGTTGGTTCAGGATGTTTTAGAATTAAATTAAAATAAAGTGTAATAAGAGCCAAGTTGAAATTTTCCCATGGACATGTAACATTCATTGTTACTCAACTATCTAGATGATATTCTGTAATAATTGCTTCATTTCTGGAAAAAATATTTCTAAACAACTCAAGTATGCCAATGGCTTTTGTACAGGCCTCACTTTTGGTAATCCCGAGGGAGGGAAATTATGTTATGGAGTTTAGATAAAACTTTAAACTGTTAGTCTTCCAAATTATGTCCATTAGTTCCAATTGTTCTATTCCAAGCTTTAGTTATTACCAGAAGAGAACCTTAGCTTCTGAATAACCAGAAAAAATAAAAATTTAAAAAGGTAGTAAATATAGATAAGACTGCATTTAGAGTGAGCTATCTAAAGGCTATGAAATGTCAATTAAATAAATTATGATACATTTGTATGATGAAGGATCTTACTGTTATGCAGACATTTAAAATCATGTGACATGATTTTAGGGGTGCCTACATTGCTCAGTCGGTTGTGCATCCAATTCTTGATTCAGCTCAGGTCCTGATCCCAGGATCATGGGATCGAGCCCTACACTGGGCTCTGCGCTGGGCATAGAGCCTGCTTGAGAATCTCTCGCCCTCTGCCGCTCTCCCCTGCTTGTATTCTCTCTCTCTCTCTCGAAAATAATAAAGGAAAACTTAAAAATTACAAAAGCACATGGCATGAAATGTTTATGGTATAATGTTTAAATAAAAAAGCAGGGTAAAAAAAGCATTTATAATTTGATATAAATTTTTGTGGCAGGTTATTTTGTTGAGATATTAATTCTATGTATCCCCCTGCCCCTCGCCCCCATTCAAGCAAGTATCCAGACCCTCATATTTTTGTAAGGCAAAAAGCAAAACATAGGCTCTTGTTGTCTTTTGAAATAAGGAGGAGAAACAAAGGACAGAAATGCCTTTGAAGGTGAGGTGGAAGACAGATTCCTTAAGACTTAGAAGTCTGAAGCTCAAATGTTGAGTAAGCAGCTAAGTCTTCTGTCTTGCTCTGTGACAGAACCCAGGATGGTGGCAAAACCTCAAAGGGGAAGGCTGCACCTGGGTGCTTGGGCTGCTAGATTCACTCATTTGATTCCAAGGGTGGTAAAGGAGTATCAGAGTCATGAGACCTGAAAGGAAGATGGCATAAAAGGGAATCTTAGCAGTAAATCAATGTGGACAGACAACTAAATAATTTCCAGGTATTTCCATGATAATTAAGGCCCTAGAAACTTTGTACAATCCTAGATGGAGAGGAAATGCTCAGTAACCAAGACGGACTTACCCACCAGCATGGCAGGATGGGAGCTCAGGTTTAGATACAAGTTGATCTGAAGAAATGCAATTATTTACTTCTGTGGAATAAGAGAGCCATACCTACAATATGCATATGCAAATACAATGTATTACAAACTATAAATATTAGAAAATACATTCTCAGGATAATTTTCCTCCTTTAGGTATATATTATCGTAGGGAAAAAAATCACTAAAATTCTCTACATAGGGGATTTTTTTCCACACTGTTTGCATTTGAAACAGTTTAAATAAATGTGTATTCCTTTTATTTTTGAAAAAAAAAATAAAACCAACTATAAGCTTTTATCCTATATATTTGAACAGGTAAAAAACAAAGAAGGGTATATATCATAATCTTAGGTTCTATTTCAGCTGTTTCAGATCTACTAGTATTAATATTCTTAGAGGTATAATACAAACTCAACTTCAGGAAAATAAAACGGGTTTTTCTCACATTAAAAAAAAATTATCATATACCTCCTGCACCCTGTAAAATTTTTAGATATTATTGAATCAGTCAGGGTCCCAGCAGGAAACAGCACACTCCAAAGGCACAACTGAAAACTGTGTAATCAGAATGTGGGCAATGAAACAGCAAGAGACGATATAGTACCACTGCTGACTTGTGGCCAACATGGAGGGAAGGTGGGAGGTTAATAAATACCCTGATCTCTTTCTCCCACTGCCTTCTGATCTGCTAGTGCCCTCCATCAACTGAGCTCAAACAGAAGCCACTGGAGAAGGGACAGTGAGATCTATAGCGGCAATGGAGACTAACACAGTAACATCAAGGGGAAAGCAATCCTACAATTTTGTTATAAATATTTCCAAATTTACGGATTAATAGTTATAAAATTCCAGTTATAAAATAAATAAGTCACATAGATGAAAAGTACATCATAGGGTATATAGTCAGTAATATTGTAATTAACTTTGTACAGTGACAGGTGGTGACTACATTTACCATGGTAAGCATTATGTAATATATAAAATTGTCAAATCACTATGTTGTGTACCTGAAACTAATATAATACTATATGTCAGTTATACTTCAATTAAAAAACTATTTTAGGGGCGCCTGGGTGGCTCAGTCGGTTAAGGATCTGACTTCAGCTCAGGTCATAATCTCACAGTTTGTGCATTCAAGCCCCGCATCGGGCTCTGCACTGACAGCTCAGAGCCTAAAGCCTGCTTTGGATTCTATGCCCCACTCTCTCTCTCTCTGTCCCTGCCCCGCTTGTGCTCTGTCTCTCTCTGTTTCTCAAAAATAAATAAACATTTAAAAAAAATTTAAAAATGGGGTGCCTGGGTGGCTCAGTCGGTTAAGTCTCTGACTTTAGCTCAGGTCATGATCTCATAGCTCATGAGTTCAATCCCTGCATCAGGCTCTGTGTTGACAGCTCAGAGCCTGGAGCCTGCTTCAGATTTTGTGTCTCCTTCTCTCTCTGCTCCTCCGCTACACGTGCTCTGTTTCTCTCTCTCTCTCTCTCTCAAAAATAAACAAAAAAAAATTTTTTTAATTAAAAAATATTTTTAATAGAAAAAAATAATTCCAAATTTAAAGATTTCTCCTAGAAGGGTACTGGAAAGACAGTGTTGGACACTAATCTTTGGTACTGTGCAATACACTGGAATTATTACTAGTACTGCTAAGGTACTTTTATTCATCCCTGATTTTTTAAACTATGTTAGGCGCTAGTTAGTGTGACACTTTATGTGTGTGTGTGTGTGTGTGTGTGTGTGTGTGTGTGTCCGTGTCGTTGTTCTCCAAGAGCTGGTGATTTAATAGATGGAGAGAATATGTAAACAAATAAGTGCAATTGTTATATGTGTGTAGCAGGATGTTAAAGTGAGACTCTATCTCATTTTTGTGTATGGTTCTAAGAAAGTAAATTATTCCCACATTCCACAGTAAAGTGGAAGGCCACCAAAAGTAGAAATTGCAAAAAAGGGGGGGGGGCTGCTTTTGCAATTTACCTGTGTATCCACTTCTAAGTCAGAAAAAAAGTTGAAGTTTAGAAGATTTTGAGAGGGTTTTTAATGTGCAGTGTGTTGACATTGGTTTTTCCTCACCTCATGCCCAGGGAGAGAGGCTTTAATGGAACTTTGATATATGTCCCTTAGAGCTGGGGGTTATGGGGGTCACAGTGGATTCACGTCAGGATTATATTTGAGGCATTCATTCACTCAATACTTCAGTAGCACTTATTTTTTTTAACATGTATTCATTTTTGAGAGTGAGAGAGACAGAGCCTGAGTGGGGGAGGGGCAGAGAGAGAGGGAGACACAGAATCCAAAGCAGGCTCCAGGCTCTGAGCTGTCAGCACAGAGCCCGACACAGGGCTCGAACTCACGGACCGCAAGATCATGACCTGAGCTGAAGTCAGACGCTCAACCGACTGAGCCACCCAGCCGCCCCTCAGTAGCACTTATTAAGCAGGTACTATACCAGACACAGATGACTACAGCAGTGCATGAAATAGATGAAAAGCCCCTGCCTCCATGGAGCCAACATTCTAGTGGAATCTGGACAAGCAAAGATGGCTGGCTAACTGCAAAGATGAGTTTTGAGTGGTCAAAATCTATACTCAGAGGTGTGAGGCAAAGCCATTCTGTGGATATCTGGATCAGATATGGGTTGCTGAAGAAAGTCGCGTGGAAGAGTAAAGAGACCCCCACAGAAAGAAGCTGGAGGCATATAGCACAGATGCAAGCAACTGACATTGAGCTGATTGCCAGATGACATATATTTACCCAAGTGCAAGCAAGAGATTGCCAGTATTTGCTCATTGGGGTAAGGTGAGGAAAGAGGTGTTTCCAAAGAATGCATAAAGTTACAAGTGTTGAGTGAAATTGAAGAAGTACTGCTACATTTGCTGACCCACTCTTCCTACAAAATATCTCTACTGATCAATTTTTCAACTCTTGGTGAAAGACCAAGATGCATCCTAAGCCAAATCCCCAAAACATGAAGAGCTGAAAGTCATGTAAAAACTTTAGTAAGTGCTTAGGACCTTCAGTTTTGACCAAAAGGCTAACCAAATGCCCGTTCTGATGGCTTATGAGAGGAGCTTTGATATGAGCCTCTGAAGAGTCTAGCCAATCACTGTGAATGAAGGATATATCACAAAGCCCTAAATATTTATTTAGGAGATAACAATCAAAAGGACAAGTTTGAGAGTGAGAGATTCATCATTCTTTCATTTTTTCATTTAACAGATATTTAATGAGTACCTACTATTATGCTAGGCTTTGTTCTAGGCACTAGGAGTAGCTTAGTAAATAAAAAAAAATTCTGGAGTGCCTGGATGGCTCAGTGGGTTAAGCGTCCAACCATTGATTTCAGCTCAGGTCATGATCTCACCATTGTGAGATCAAGCCCACACGGGGCTCTGCATTGAGTGTGGAGCCTGCTTGGGATTTTCTTTCTCTCTCTCTCTCTCTCTCTCTCTCAACCCCCTCTCTCTCAAAATAAATAAGTAGACATTTTTTAAAAAATCCCTATGTTGAGTGTTACGTGATTCCCTGTTACATACTTACAGTATCCCCCATGCTGTCCCTCCCCTTAACTTTTACTTGAACTAGCTTCATTGGGTTTCTTTTCTTTGTATTCAATACATTCCTTCTACAAAAGTAACACGGTAGCAATAGGTTAACTACCTAAGGGCAGGGGCTCCTGGAAATCAATGAGAAAATGACTAATAATAATAAACTGAGGAAGGGAATTAAGTGGCAATTCACTAAAGTAACATAAACAGATAAGAAATACATGAAAAGATTTTTTTTTTTTGGCTAGGAAGCAAAAAATACAAGTAAAATTAAAGAGATTTTTTTCCTCTTTTTTTTTGCCTATCAACTTGATAAAGGTAAAAAGTACTTACCCTATCCAGTGCTGGTGAAAGTATAAAGAAAGTGGACTCTCAGGCACTGTAGAATATAAATTGATATAAGTTTTTGCTTTTTTGTAATTTAGCCATATTTATCATAATTGTAAATGCAAGTTCCCTTTGACCTGGCAATTCCATTACTATGAATTCATCATAAGGGGGTAATCAGGAAAGTACAAAAATGTGTGTATGTATAAAAATATTCATTATAGTATTTTTATAATAATGAAGACTTGGAAATAAGCTAATGGTTCACCCATAGTTTAGTTAATTATTGTATTTCTACACAATGGAATACTATGTCACTATTGAAAATAATATATATCATTACTTATGAACACGAAAACATGGCCATAACTTTTAAAGTGTAGTATAAAACAGTTTAGTATGATCTTATTTCTAAAAACAATTATATATTTATTACACATATTTTGAAGCATGTGAATATACGCATATGCAGAAAAGAATTGCCAAAATGTTTATGTACTATATAACAATTATTAAATGAGTAGTTACTTTGCACTCAACATTCACTAAATAATATTTATTAAGCATTTAGTATATGCTAGGCATTGTGCTGGGTGCTAGAGAAACAGAAGAGAACAATCTGCTAATTTAATCCACTAAATTAACAGTGATTTTTTTTTTTAATTTTTTTTTCAACGTTTATTTATTTTTGGGACAGAGAGAGACAGAGCATGAACGGGGAAGGGGCAGAGAGAGAGGGAGACACAGAATCGGAAACAGGCTCCAGGCTCCGAGCCATCAGCCCAGAGCCTGACGCGGGGCTCGAACTCACGGACCGCAAGATCCTGACCTGGCTGAAGTCGGATGCTTAACCGACTGCGCCACCCAGGCGCCCCTAACAGTGATTTTTAAAATGACAACAATTTGGGGTGCCTCGTGACTCATTTGGTTAAGCATCCAACTTTGGCTCAGGTCATGATCTCACTCATGTTCATTCATGAGTTTGAGCCGGGCTCTTTGGTGTTAGCATAGAGCCTGCTTCGAATCCTCTGTCCCACTCTCTCTCTGCCACTCCCCTGCTCACTTACATGCTCTCTCTCAAAAATAAACATTAAAAAAGATATAATAATATATATAATTCATAAATAATATATATTAATATATAATATAATAAATATATATAATATATATTCTTTTTTAAATGACAACAACCAGTATTGGTGAATTTAAGGAGGAGGAGGGCACCCTCAAAGACTATTGTGGTTGGCACCAAATCCTAACCACTAGACCACCAGGGAGGTTTCATATACTATTGTGGAGAGTATAAACTGATAAAACATTTCTGGAGGGCAGCTTAGCACTTTTTATTAAAAGCTTTGGAAAAATCCATTTCACTCGACTCTGCAATTCCATTTTTAGGAATTTATTTTAAAGAGGGAAGTATTGGCGTATACAAGCAAAACTATGTACCAAGCAGTTCATAAATGAGTTGGTGAGTAGGGGGGAACCTAAATATTAAACAACAGGGATTTGGTTAAATAAAACATCGTATGTTCATAATGCAGAATACTAGGGAGTCCTATTTAACCTGAAAAATATTTGACAGAGAAAAAAAGACCAAAATATCAAAGTGAAAGGTTTAAACAGACTGTGATACTAAATTGCTCTGAACTCGAGCAAATCACAGAAGTGACCTGAGTCTGTTACTTCATCTGCAAAAGCTTAGATCATTAAGGACCAAACTTTCAATGTGGACCTTGCCTGAGTCTAGGTACTTAACTTTCCTACTTTATAAAGAAAATATGTCAACGTTGGTACAGGGTAGGTGTTAAATTGGCAGATGTTTGCAGAGCTGTGCTAAACTCTCTGTGGATTTGCCAAAAGTTCTCAACAGAGAAAATACGTGTTTCAGAAGAAAATGTCCAGTTTTTCTCAGTGGTCTGATCTACCCGATTAAAACATTATAACAAAATAAAGAAAAAACAAGCATCGTACTTGATTTTGACACCAGAGAAAGGCATTAGTGCCCTCATGGAGTTCAAAGTCTTGTAGGGGAAACCAGTAATGATACTAAAGAGGGACCAATGGCAACAGAGCCTTGAAAAATGATTTCTCCAGGGAATGGAGAAAAGGATTTCCGAAGTAGAAAGAAATGCGTGTACACAAAGTACTTGACGAAGAGGGTGGTTGACACAAACAAACGAACCATTATTTTGTGGCCTTTCTTACAGCCTCGCTGTTCTTCCAGTCACACAATACCCCAAATCTCTGTGGACCCTGAATGAGAGATTTCGAGCGGCACACTGCATCACCTGTAGTCGCAGGCGTCGTCTCGAACGATTTCAGGTGTATCAGCCGAGCGGTGAGAAACTGGAGGGAATCGGCAATACACAGGTAATAATCACTGAGGATCCGAGAAGGGCGGTTTTGTAGGGGCCGCCCCGAAGCTCTCAGCCGCCGCGGGCACTCCCCGCCCAAGATTTCCCGCCAAATCAACCCCGCCTCCTGACGAGGCCCCGCCTACTGGGGGGGGGGTGATCTGGGAGTTTGAGGGTGGGGCAGCGCTGGGAGCCTATCGATATCTCTGGGATAGATTGCCTTGCCCTGCGCCGCCGCCGTCAAAATCCGAAGACTTGTTTGTAGATCGCCGAGCGGTAGTTTCGGTCGCGCTCCTGGGTCCGCACCTCTGCTGGAGGCCGCAGCCAGACCCGCGCCGGAGCCATGGTGCGTTGGATTCCGAGCTCAGGCAGGGTTGGGGCAAAGATCCGCCGACTGGGGGATGGTGAGCCGCCACTTCGGTCATCCTCAGAGCGGCCTGGGGCCACGGGGTATGGGAACCTCGGCCGACAGGAGGGTTCCAGCAGTGATTCAGCATCTCCGGCCTGGCGGGGAGAGGGGCGATGGGTAGTCAGTGCGGCCTTTCTCCCGGGCTTGTTTCGCTTTCCGCCGGGCCTGGGACACTACCTCCTCGGTCAACTAGATGAGCTCGCCCCTCAAGTTCCTACAGTCGGAGTAGTTCCGAGCGGTTCAGAATGGCTCCTCGTGCTCTATGTAGGAGAGGAGGAAATAGGGACTTGACTTGGCGGCTTCCCTGTACTGCCACTGCGGGCTTGATCCCAGAGTTTGGGTTCCAGGACAGCGTCCATTTTCCTTGTGGGTCCGTCTCATTTTTCTCTCCCCTACACTCGATCAGAAAGGGTTCTTTTCACTCACTTTGTCCAAGTGAATAAACCGAAGCTGAGAGAAGTGGTGTTATCACGGACACAGCCTAGGGCTCGGGGCTTCCAGTCTCATGTCTGCCATTCCAGCACTCAACTTTCTCACCCCCCGGGTTATTTCCCCAATATTGTGCTGGTAGACTTGTTTCAGTACCCTTATTAAAGCAGTAATGGTTCTGGCTCTGTAGCTATTTATTTGTGTTAACATCTAACTTCCCGAGAACATTCTTGTGTTTTTTCTTCAATATGAATGTTTATACGTACAAGGCACCGTTTTAAGTGCAGTAAGGGTTCAAAGATAAATCTGACATGTCCCTAATCATAAAGTGGAAAGGGAGTGTAGATAAAGAACTGATGGGAGTATGTGTTGGAATTTTGGGAGAAAAATAGAGAAGACTTAGAGAGATAGACATTTGAGTGAGGGTAAAGAAAAAGCGCTTTTGATCATTTATTAGGGCCCAGTATAAGAGAAGAGCCTAAGCAGAGATGGGAAGGAAAGGTGACACTATGAACTTTAGGAACGGAACCCAAAGGGAATGCTATAGATAGTGGTAGAATTGGAAGTTGGAAAGATGGGTCCTATCTAGATCTGCTCCTCCCTTGTAGCTCATGGTAAATTTAGAATTTGCTTGCAACTGAGTATAGCAGTAATCTTCCAATGAGTTTGTATTAATAGCAGGTGTTAATGTTGAATGGAAACAGATGGGAGAACAGTTTTTAATGATAGAGCTTGTTAAAAACTGGAATTTGTAGTGTTCTTAAGTTAACAGGTCTTTTTTTCTTTTATTTTCAGTTTCGCAACCAGTATGACAATGATGTCACTGTTTGGAGCCCTCAGGTAAAAATGTTGTGGTTTTCTTTATTTTAATTTTTTTTTTTTATGTTTATTTTGGAGAGGGAGAGAGACAAAGCGTGAGTGGGGGAGGAGCAGAGAGAGAGAGGGAGACACAGAATCCCAAGCAGGCTCCAGGCTCTGAGCCATCAGGACAACACCTGACAGGGCTTGAACCCATAGAGTGTGACATATGACTTGAGCCAAAGTTGGACGCTTAATCAACTGAGTGAGTCACCCGTGTGTCCCAGTAAAAATGTTTTATACTATATCTGTGAAGTGACTTTAGAAACTCATGAAAGTGTAAGCTGTGGCAAAATGGAATATAATCATGTTAGACATCCTGGAACCTAAGTTTATCATTAATAAGTTTCCTAGTTTAAAAGAAAAATCATTTGAGATTTAACCATACTCCCCTGAGATTTGGGACCACTAAATCAATTTTAAATATATAAAAGGATCTTACAAGATGACTCTAAGATGTGTTGTTTTCTCTTTAGGGCAGGATTCATCAAATTGAATATGCAATGGAAGCTGTTAAACAAGGTTCAGCCACAGTTGGTCTGAAGTCAAAAACCCATGCAGTGCTGGTTGCACTGAAGGTAAGTACAGCAGTAAATAAATCTTCCTCGTGTAGAAAATGAAACTGTCAGATAGAAGTTTCACTGCGTCGGTAATAAAATCTTAAATGTATTTTTATGTTCTGTAATGTCTCTGTTTAGAGAGCACAGTCAGAGCTTGCAGCTCATCAGAAAAAAATTCTCCATGTTGACAACCATATTGGTATCTCGATTGCGGGACTTACTGCTGATGCTAGACTGTTATGGTGAGTATGATCTTGAAAAGCAAAAGAAACATCCATTTGGATTCATCAAGATATGATGTTTTAGGAAGTTGTCTGGCAGAGTTTAGAAGTTCAGATTGTGAATACCTTACTGGATTTGGGCTCAGTTACTAAGTATTCCATTTCTTGATCCCTGTAGTAGTAACTACTACAATTAGCCATGTTAAGATTAAAGCTTTTGAGAAGTCACGTCATAATGCGTTACTTGTTAACTCAATGTTTATTGTTTGAGACAATGTTGTGTCTAAGAAGAGCTTGACACTTTTGTCTGGTTTCTAAGGATTGGCAGAACTACCCTTACTTTAATATGCCAGTATTTGTAAGACATTTATTTTTTGCGAATCTCATTACTGGATATTCATTCTGTATGTATGAGTCAGATATACATCTTGTCTTCTAGGAACTTAAAATCTAGTAGTATATCTTTAATACAAGGTAGAAAGTGGAGAGGAACAGGTAGATTTCTGTGAGAGTCCAGAGGAGATAGAGATGAGAGACATATAAGTGAAGAGCTGGGGCTTTGAAACCACTTAGGATTTGAGGTGAGGCTAGTTACTTACACCATTGATGCTTTTAGTATGTTGTGTTTCAGAGTTATTGTTGAATAGCCTAACATGTAGAGCACTTAACACAGTGCCTTTCAGGTAATTTATGAATGTGTGTGTTGGGAGGTCGAAGGTAGTTAGCCAAAACTAATCTCTTAAGCCTGTGATTTAGTGTTTATTTATTTTTGAGACAGAGACAGAGCATGAACAGGGGAGGGGCAGAGAGAGAGAGGGAGACACAGAATCTGAAACAGGCTCCAGGCTCTGAACTGTCAGCACAGAGCCCGACATTGGCCTCAAACCCACGAGCTGTGAGATATGACCTGTGCTGAAGTCAGACGCTTAACTGACTGACCCACCCAGGTGCCCCAAGCCTGTGATTTAATTAGGGAAGAAAGAATATACGCACAAAACGCAAATAGTAATGCCACTGTTGAAGATTTTAGAGTTATCCAGTGAGTCGCCTGCTCTCTTAGGTTGGCAAGATAGTGACGGCATTATTGGTTTCTGAGAGCTCTTGAAAGTGTAAAATATGTTCCATGGTCAAACGTTTTATTTACCCCATCTATCTAAAATACTGCCATGTAAATGTGTAAATGTGTAATCAATATAAAAACTTCATTAATGAGATATTTTGCATTGTTTTTTGTACTGAGTCTTTGAAATTTCAGGTGTATTTTGCACTTCTGGTACATCTCTGTTCAGGCTAGCCACCTTTTAAGTGCTTAATAGTCACATGTAATCAATACCTGCCATATTGGGCAATGCAGTATAGATAGCCTTGGGAAATGAGCTTAAATAAAAGTAGTGAACAAATAGCATGGTTCCCACAGTCAACATTTGATTATCAGATGTGACATACACATAAACTAGACAAAGCAACATGGAAAGAAAGGTGCATATCCATTTCCCTGTTGTTTATCCTGTTGTCTTTAATCGTTAGGCATGAATTCTGTTTTCCCCAATGTTACATCTGCTTGAATCTTGGTACGTTTAACAGTGAGACTCAATAGTCTAGTGTTCTGTGTCTCCTTTAGAGTGCTGCTTATGGAGAGGAGCAACATTGGCAGGAACATGTAGCACTGTCCTTGTATGGATTCTATTCCTTGCATTTGCTCTTTCGGGGAAATTTCAGTCAGCTTTCAAGAAAAAAAGCAAATAGTTACTCTTTTTGCTGGTTTAAGACCTAGAATTAAGATAATCTTATTGACAGTGGGAAAGGGTAAGAAAAGAGAGCTTGCTCTTTTTCTCTTGCTCAGCCTTCTCTAAACTACTCAGAGACCAAGTTTATCTAGAGTAAGGAATATTTAGTCTTTTTAAAAACCTCATCATGCCCCAGAGTTCAGTGTAAAAATGTATCCTTGTGGCATGTCTTTCTTAATCCATGTGAGGAAAAGCAAAAAGAAATCAAACTACTTTATTTAGATTGAAATAACTGATTTGAAATAACTCTGATTTGTTTCTTTTTTAGTAACTTTATGCGCCAGGAGTGTTTGGATTCCAGATTTGTATTTGACAGACCTCTTCCTGTGTCTCGTCTTGTATCTCTAATTGGAAGCAGTATCCTTTTTATGTTAGGATTTATGGATGTGAAATTCAAAGAATTTTGATACTTAATCCTTATGTTAATTATTATATAAAATACAACATAATGCTTATGTTAATTATTGGGAATATAATACATAGGATAGGTAAGATTCTGAAAACTTTAAGGTTAGTTACTTTTCAATAACAATGTTTAAAATTTAGAATTGTGGGAAGTTTTGCCATGGAAAAATGTTCTAAGTAAAGCATTAGATTGCTCTTTCATCAGCCCTATTCCAGACATAGAGAAGCCCAATTCAGGAAAACTATTCAAGTATCATTTTTAGAGGAGATTTAAAGTTTTTATTGGTGGTTCTAGATGTCCCCCCAAATTCTTAACCTCTCACCCAAAATAGATGAGGTACTCTACATAAGAGGAGATCATTTTGCTGGCACTCATTCTTAGGTTTTGTGGAGAGTCTTAACATTTAAAAAAAAAATTTTTTTTTAAATGTTTATTTATTTTTGAGAGAGAGACCATGCGAGTAGGAGAGGGGCGGGGGGGGGGGGGGGTAGGGGGTGGGGCGTGACACAGAATCTGAAACAGGCTCCAGGCTCGAGGCTGTCAGCACAGAACCTGATCCAGGGCTCAAACTCCCAGACCCTGAGATCGTGACTTGAGCCAAAGTCGGATGCTCAACCGACTGAGCCACCCAGGCACCCCTTCCCAACATTTTTTAATATGGGGCCAAAGAAATATGGTTCTTTTATTTTCTCTTTGCTGTGATGGATTATATGCAGCAATTAAAAAACCAAAGCTCTTTGTTAATAATGTTTAACTTGAAAAAAAAGATAGTACTTTATTCCTTGTTAGAACAGTTTCTTTAACTAGTTTAAGAGACCCAGATACCAACGCAACGATATGGCCGGAGACCATATGGTGTTGGACTGCTTATTGCTGGTTATGACGTAAGTTCATAGAATATTTGTTATATTTTGATGATTTTTCAAAACTGACTAGAAATTTCATAATTTTTAGCTCAAAGTCAAAAATTGTGTGTGTGTGTACATATATATATGCAATGTATGTATATATGTATATGTATTTTTTTTTTCCTGTTTGTAGGATATGGGCCCTCACATTTTCCAGACCTGTCCCTCTGCTAACTATTTTGACTGTAGAGCTATGTCCATTGGAGCACGTTCTCAATCAGCTCGTACTTACTTGGAGAGACATATGTCTGGGTTTATGGAGTGTAAGTAATTTTTTTTTTGTCCCCTCCAGAGATGAGCCAGAGATGAGAACCACTGTATTGGTTACCAATTATAAGTTCTGTTGACAACTTTTAGTTTTCTATGATTCTGTTGTTACTTTTAGCCACACAGACATTTCTGTATAAGTAGTGCATAGACAAGAATTAGGATAGCTATGAAAAAGAAAGGTAAAATGATGATGGAAGATGTGATCATGGGGCAGGTTTTCAAGTGCTTTGCTTAAACAGTGGTCTTGGACTTTAACACATGTTTTTTGGACATCTCTTAAGGTGCCTGTGTGGTTGTTGTTTACCCTTCATTCTATTGTGGTGTATTGCATTATTGGGCTTTTGAATATTGAACCAGCTTTGGATTCCTAGGACAAATCCCTCTTGATCATGATTTATAATAGTAACTATATATAGAAATGTTTACATAAAAATAATTGTTGCTGGATTCATTTTGCTGATATTTTGTTGAGGTTTTTTTTGTGTCTGTATTCATAAGGATAATTGATCTGTAGTTTTATTTTCTTGTGATATCTTTGTCTAGTTTTGGTATCAGGTTAATACTGGCCACATAGAAATATTGGAGACTTTGTTTATAAAGAGCAAATAAATTCCATAGAATACATTTTACAAAAATTTGAGCTGTAGCATTTGTGAGTGAGGATTCTCATTTAATTTAGCATAAAAAAGGTGAAATTTAGTAACAAAAATCATGTATTCTCCTCTTTAAGTAAAATAATAGCAATGTTATTTATTATTATTAGAAGATTATATGGCTAAACATTAAAATTTTGGCTTTTTATTGTGATATATTTATTATGTGACTAAAACCATAATAACAGACTGTAGACCTGATAAAAGCAGCCTCATGTGAAGATGAAATTAAGAAATAATTGTTAATTTCTTACATAGGCAATTTGAATGAACTGGTTAAACATGGTCTGCGTGCCTTACGAGAGACACTTCCTGCAGAACAGGACCTAACTACAAAGGTAGATAATCGTGTTTTTCAACTTGAAATTTTAACATTACAGGTCAATCACTTATTTCATAAGTATAAGTAATAGAGGAGTGTACACAGTTCTTCAATTTGGGAGATTTGCCTTGGTTCATTCTTTCTCTTTAAGCTATTCACTAAGTGATCTGATTTTGCAAGGATTTTTAAACATTTCTTTTTGGTGTAAAGTAATAAAGCCAGTAAGTTTTATGTAGAATGCCCTACATTTCTTTAGCAGGTCAGAATACCTTTGTATTATTATTATTTTTTTAATGTTTATTTATTTTTGACAGAGAAGGAGACAGAGCATGAGCGGGGGAGGGGCAGAGAGAGAGGGAGACACAGAATCTGAAGCAGGCTCCAGGCTCTGAGCTGTCAGCACAGAGCCCGATGCAGGGCTCAAACTCATAGACTGCAAGATTATGACCTGAGCTGAAGTCGGACACTCAACTGACTGAGCCACCCAGGCGCCCCGATACCTTTTTGTATTATTAACTCAGTTAACAAATATATGTATTGAGCACCTACCACGTGCAGACACTAGGCATTGAGAATATAAGCACAGCAAGCATCTTGGCCTTCATGGAACATACTATCCAAGTTGGGGCAAGAAAATATACCCATAAGTAAATTATATAATATATTAGAAGGTGATAAATGCCACAGAAAAAATAAAACAGGTTGAAATGAGAAAGACCATCTGGGTATAGGAAGGAGGTGTGCTGAGGAAAATTTAAAATAGGGTGGTCAAGGATGGCCTTGGATGGTCAAGAAAGTGAAATTTGAGGAAAATATCTAAAGGAAGTGAGTGAGTGAGTGAGCCATTCAGATGTCTAGTGCAAGATTAATCCAGGGAATACAAGTATAAGGGCCTTGAGTCCAGAACATTCCTTGTAGTTGAGGCAGGGAGGCTAGTAGTGTTGGAGTCAGTGATCAAGAGAAAGAGAAGGAATAAAGTCAGATAAATGGAGGCCAGATCATGTATAAACCATTGTAGGTATTTTGGATTTTATTCTGAGTGGGCTGTCAAGAGTTTGAGCAGAAGAATACCATGATTTGATTTAGGTTTTAAAGAGTCATTCTGGTTGCCATTTTGAGAACAGATTATAGTAGGCAACATGGGTGAAAATAGTTTTAAAACTGTTAAGATAATGCAGATGAGAGAACGTGGTGAATTAGAGCAGAGCTGTGGAGTTGGAGAGGGGGGTAAGTGGTTCAGTTTGGGGTATGTTTTGAAATTAGAGCTAAAAATGTTTGCTAACGAATTAGTTGTGAGGGTGTGAGAACAACAACAAAACAAGTGGTTTTCAAAATTTGGGGCCTGATAGATTAAGGAGAGGTTTACATTTACTGAGATGGATAAGACAGTAGAGGGACAGGTTTGGGGGCGGGAGTTGTGGAAGATCAGGCAGTTAGCTTGGGACTTATTAAACCTGAAATGCCTATTGTCCATTGGTGATATAAAATAAGCAGTTTTTGGGGCACCTGGCTGGCTCAGTCAGTGGAGCATGCGACTCTTGACCTCAGGGTTGTGAATTCAAGCCCCATGTTGGGTGTAAAGCTTACTTTAAAAAAAAAAAAAAAAGCAGCATTTATCAGATGTGTCTCCCCTAAAGTTTGGTGGAGAATGGTCTAGCCTAGACTTACAAATTTTGGAGTCTTTATGTAGAAATGGCATTTTGAGACTGGATTGGATGACACTGCTAAAGGAATCATAGTTTTGTAAGAGGTTTAAGGCCTGGGCCAGGGGCACTCTAACCTTCAGAGATTGGAAGGTAAGTATCAGCAAAAAGGACTAAGAATGATGACCAGGGAGATAGGAGGAAAACTTAGAAAGTGAGACATTCTTGAAAGCAAATGAAGAAACTATTTCAAGGAGGAGGGAACAAAAAATTGGTAATACATCAAGGAAGATGTGGAGTGAGAATTAAATGTAATGGGGGACCCGACTAGACGGTTTCATTGGAATGGTGAGCCAAAAGCCTGAAAGGGATGAATCAGTAGAGAATGGGCAAGGACGGACTGGAGGCAGCTCTGTGGAGATTTTCTCTTGCAGGGTCAGAGAAATGGGTGGTGACTGGAAGAGAATGAAGGGAAGTTTTTTGTTTTGTTTTTCTTTTAATTAAGATGGGAGAAATTACAGCATGTTTGGTGCATGGTTATAAGAATAATCCCTGTAAAGGGAAACATTTATGTAGGAGGAATATGAGAAAAACTGCTAGACCAGTGTCCTTAAATAGTACACAGGTGGAAGAAAGGTAGACAGACCTTAGAGAGGAAATTGGACTATTCATTAACACAGCAAGGGAGAGGATCTAGGGATATGATACCATGGGAGCTTGTGAACATTCTCTTCTAATTGCTTCTGTTTTCTCAGTGAAATGAGAATGGAAAATGTTAGAAGATGTCCAGGAGAAGAGATTGAATGATGTAGGGACCCATATAGTACAATGCAGGAATGATCATTAACCAGAGTATAGGTATCAGTCAGCATTTTATAAACCCATTTTGTTACAGTGATTAGATAATTATTATGTAATATATATGTGAAGAATTTATAGCCTGATAATCTTTTGAAAATAAGTTTTCCTATCATAAAAGTAATTTTTTTCAAAGAAATCAGGAATGTACATTAAATTATTTTTATTTGTTTAAAGTACCCATAATGCTATCACTGAAGATGACTGTCTTTTAAAATTTGGGTTTATAGTTAACTGTTGACATGTACACTTTGGAAAAGTTTGCTCAGGTATCTGGGTTTCTGATTTCATATTTTTACTGAATCGTGGATAATGATTCAGTGAAATCATTGAGAGAAGTCCTATATATCCTTATGCCTCAAATTTTCACTAAAATTTTAATTTTACACTGGATAGCATTCACTGAGCATTTTAAGAATTGGTCTTTAATTTTAATATGTAGAACATAGTTCTAGGAGCCCACCAACTTCAGCACTTTATAACCCACTACTTACTCTCTTTCCTTGTTAAGAACCATCATCTCTTAAACAAGAAACAAACCTGATTGTTTCTTAGGAGTTAGGCTTACTGCTTAGCTAAGTGATTTGCTCCATCACACTGGTCTGCAGCACATTCTCATTATGATTCAACTTGCGAATTTCTTGGTGGCATAGACCTTTGAAGTTACTCGTGATTATCAAAATATGAAATTTGCAAGTTATAAGAGTCTACAGTTTTCTTCCTTTTTTCTCTACATTGAGTGTTTTTCAAGTCTTATTTAAGTGCTATATAAACTTTTATTCTGCTTTGTTTCACCCATTTAATCATAAACATTTTTCCAACCTAAATTCTCTTGATTTTTAATTTTTACCTTTTTTTCCCCCTCAGAATGTTTCCATTGGAATTGTTGGTAAAGACTTGGAGTTTACAATTTATGATGATGATGATGTATCTCCATTCCTGGAAGGTCTTGAAGAAAGACCACAGAGAAAGGCACAGGTATATAACTAATCATTACACCAGAGACTTTAGTTCTGTTATAAGCTGCTGTTCCTACCACAAGTGTGTAAACCTACCATTTTTGTTTTTAATTATTGAGGTAGGCTCATAATTCAAATGACAGTAGGAGAACTTAGAACTGAGTAATGTGAAATACTGAGGGAGCAGTTATCTACATAAGTGAAAGAGGGTTGATAATCTAGTTATCTGTTGCTATTTTTCACAATTCTATGGGTTGACTGGCTAAATAATTCTTTTGCTAGTCTTACTTAGGGCCTCTTGTGTTGAAGTCAGTTGAAGCAGGGGGGCTGGAACATCCAAGATGGCTCTACTTATGCGTCTTTTTTTTTTTCTTTTAATTTTTAATGTTAATTTTGAGAGAGATGGAGTGCAAGGCAGGGGAGGGGCAGAGAGAGAGAGTGAGGGAGACACAGAATCCGAAGTAGGCTCCAAGCTCCAGTCTGTCGCCACAGAGACTGATGTGGGGCTGGAACCCACCAACCACAAGATCATGACCTGAGCTGAGGTCGGATGCTTAACCAACTGAACCACCAAGTCACCCCTTTTTTTGTTTTTTGTTTTTTGTTTTTGTTAATGTTTTGTTTTATTTTATTTTATTTTATTTGTTTATTTTGAGAGCGAGCACAAGCAGGGAAGGAGCAGAGAGACACTCCCAAGTAGGCTCCACACTGTCAGAGCAGAGCCCGACCCAGGGCTCAATCTCATGAACCATGAGACCATGACCTGAGCCGAAATCAAGAGTTGGACACTTAACTGAGGGAGCTACCCAAGCTTCCCCTCACGTGTCTTCTTTATTCAGACTTATCTTAGAGGGACAGTTAGAAGGCTGAGACTGCTGCTAGGATGGCTGTGTCCTCTCAGAACCTTTCTTCAGCAGGGTAGCGTCTCAGAGCTTGTAAAAGTTCAAAAGCTCCAAAGTGGAAGCTGCCAGACATTCTAAAAGCCTGAGGCTCGGGAGTGGCACAGCATCAGTTTTGCACATTTTATTGGTTAAAACAAGTCACAGGGCCGGCCAAGAGTCTGTAGGAGTGAGGACTGAGGGAGAGTTCATTGGGGACCCTCTGGAAACTAAGTTGGCTCTTCACAAATACTGAGAAAAGGGTCAGGAAATACTGGTCTTTTTGGTTGAATATTTAGAATACACATTGGCGGGGCCCCTGGGTGGCTCAGTCGGTTGAGCGTCTGGCTTCCACTCAGGTCATGATCTTATAGTTCATGAGTTCAAGCTCCACGTTGGGCTCTGTGCTGACAGCTCAGAGCCTGGAGCCTGCTTTGGATTCTGTGTCCCCCTTTCTCTTTGCCTCTCCCCTGCCCGTGCTCTGTCTCTGTCTCTCAAAAGTGAATAAACATTAAAAAATAAATAAAATTTCTTTAAAAAAAAAAAGAATACACATTGGCTATTTACAGATACTTATTTGATAGTTGTATAATTGAAAATAAAGTGTTCTGGAGAGACACTGTTTTCTATAGGGTGAATTTTTTTTTCACCTTGGAGAGGATATTGTTGGTACTATTTAGAGAAGCAAGATTTGCATTGTATTTAAACCTGTTGGTAAGAACCAGCACTGTTGGGGAGAATGCTGTAAGTTCCACACAGCTGGTTGGTTTGACCATGTTTTCACTCTGTTTATTAGTGCTAAAGAGGAAGAGAATGCCTAAAATCTACTGATTATATTCTAAGGCTAGTAGTGATGATAAAAGGAAGGCCTTTATTCCTAACCAAGACAATATGGTAAAATGCTGGAATTGTTCGGTGATGCTTTGGTTTTCAGACCTATAAAATTACGTCTGTTTAAAAACAAAAACAAAAACAACTTTGTTCAGAAATTTTAAGAGGACAATCAACTAAAATTGAATATCCAAAATCTTTCCTAACCCCTTTTCTCATAAATTCTTTCAGACTGTAGTAAGTGTGATAAGAAGTATATATTAGTCAAGTGATTTTTTTTTTGACCTATTTTGTTTTTTTCTTCCCCTTACAGCCTGCTCAACCTGCTGATGAACCTGCAGAAAAGGCTGATGAACCAATGGAACATTAAGTCATAAACCAGTCTATCTGTATATTATCAAATATGTAAGAATTCAGGAGCACGTACTGATGACAATAATCTATACTTTGAACCAAAAGATGCAGGGTGGTCTTATGGTATGTTTTAGGAATCAGCCCAGATGTGTTTTTCCCAGGCTACTTCTCTGAAACCATATGATGGTATGCATTTTTTTTTTGAGAGGGTCTATATAATCATTTTCTAGAAAGTATAGTTATCTGTACTAATGTTTTTATATGAAGAACATAGTGTCTTTGTGGTTTTAAAGACAACTGTGAAATAAAATTGTTTCACCTGCTGGTGTATTGGGTTTTTGTTTTTTAAGTAGCTTCAACTGTAAATAGTACGAGAGATTACAACTGGTCATCTGCCATGTTTACCAAATTAAATTGCCTTATGTTTAGTGACGGGGAAAATAATACCTTTTATCTATCACAACCTTATACCAGTTCCCTGTGTGTGGACTTGCTACATGAGAATCTATGGAGATTTGTTTCAGAATACAACTTGCAAAGTTCAACCCTGGAGATTTCTTAATAAACCTAAGAAACCTCCCCTTTGCAACCACCATAGTAGCGAGACTATTAACATATGAATGGTTTTTCTTTCCAACCAGCAGATGGCAGTAGTGCTAGCTCTGGCCTCCGTGTAGGGAACTTCCTGCAAAAATAACAAAGGGAAATTTTAATCCCAAACCATCATTTCCTCTCAGCCTGCCCAGCCCCACTCCATCGTAATCTTTAGGCTGACTTCCATTATTTTTGTGAGTGGTGTATGCAGAAATTGCAGAACAATTTTTATCTTAGGCCATGCAAAATGAAATCTGAGGAAATCTGATTTACAAAACAATCCAACATTTCGCTGCTAAGAAGCTGAGAGGAGTTTTTATTTCCTGAAATTCCTATCTAGAAAGGAGCAGTTCATTTGTAGATAGGGAATTTGGATTTTAGACCTAATTCTACTAATTAGTTATCATTGTCTTCGGGCAAGTTACTTAGCTCTATTTTAAGGAACTCCTTTGGAGAATTAGTGTGAAGGTTAAATGGGAGAATTTATGTGAAAACTTGGACACTTTAAAATTCATAAATTGTTACTTTACTTTTTTTTCCAGATCACCTAAAACTTTAAAAGCTTGAGTAGATTTAAATCTCTAGCTTCTTGAAGGGAAAGTGCTAGGTGCTTTCTGGCAAACTTGTTGAGAGAAAGACCTGACTAAATATAGGAATGTGTATGAGGTGTTGGGTCTGTGTTCTGAAAGTAGCCTCAGGAGTCTGCCATTTGAGCTTGGGATGAGACCACAAGTACCATGTGGCCATTTGACCTACAATAGATTTGCATTAAGCACATGCAACTTTCATAAACGCAAAGTGAAGAGGGAGTTCTCCCACAGGCCTTCAGACTCAATAGCTAGTATAGTCTGGAGGAGGGAACATAAGTGGGAAATTTCATAATCTGATCTTTAAAGCCTCAGGCGGGTCTCTTCTGTGCCTATCATTGTGCCAGCCTCTGTCTTGTTGAGTGATTCTGTTGTTTAAAGATAACATGTATAATGTATATCATATTGTACCTGTTCCTAAATGTAAACCAATTACTTGACTGGTGCTCAGGTGGGAAAAAAATGTGATCTGGATAGTACTTAAGAGGCGATTTTAAAGATTTTTTTTTAAAGATTTTTTTGAGAGAGAGAAAGAGAGAGAGAGACAGAGTGCAAGCGGGGAGGGGCAGAGAGAGAGGGAGACACAGAATCTGAAGCAGGCTCCAGGCTCTGAGCTGTGAGCACAAAGCCTGACTCTAGGCTGGAACTCACAAATCGCAAGATCATGACCTGAGCCGAAGTCGGATGCTCAACTGACTGAGCCACCCAGGCGTCCCCAGAGGCGATTTTAGTAATCTTTTTAATATATGATGTTAGTCTTATACGTTGACCTTAGAATTTAAAATCGTTTCCACCCCGGTAAGATTCAGTCAACTCCACTGTTTGTACAGAGTTCATTGTAATGCCTTTTCATTGTCACTTTGTCTAGTGTGTTATATTCATTCTGTTTAGTCTGTGTTAATGATAAACAATAAAATTCCTATTTGTATCCTCTCATAAAACCGATCACTGATACACAAACAATCAATTTACCTGGAATTTATTAGACATCTATATGTACAGCTTTGAAGAACTCATGGTTAAAAAATAAGAGGCAGTAAAGTGGGTCACCGGATTCAGGTTGTGGGACCAGCTTTCTCAATGTTTGATGATTTTGTGATTTGAGAGCAAGTCCCTTTTCTTTAGGCCTTGATTTCCTAGATGCCTGTTTTTATGATTCTTGGTATATGACTCTCAAAAGGTCTTTGCTCTCAAAAAATTTAAATTTCACATACATTCAAAATGATATAATTACATAGTAGAATAGAAAATAGAAGCCCCAAAACAAGGTGCATGTTATAAACCAGGAAGAAATAGGCTTTTCAAGGTCATGATATCTGTTGAACAAGCTCTGTACTTAATATACATCAATACATATACACCACCAATGACATTTTAAGTGCAGACCTAAAATGAGATTTTCTAAAACATTGTATTTTCTTGCCCTCTTCACATTTAATAGTTTCCTTAATGACTCTGTCACGGTAAGTCTCAAATTTTCTTCTGTAACACAATGATCCTCCAGGGCAACTGAAGTGGGTGTGGTTGGTCCTACACCATAGTGGCTCTAAACTGAGCTTTCATATTGCTGTCTAGTTTTTACGCTTTTGGGGGCCTTATTTCATGCCAACAGATTGTCACTTTTTGATATGTGGGCTTGGAAACCAGATACTGTACTTGAAAAATTTCATGTTAAACACATGAAAGTGAAAGAACCTGTTGTATATATATAGCTTGGGTTGATCTCAAGGGAATTACGTGGCATGAAAAAACAATCTCAGTGGTTACATTGTATAGTTCATATATATTACATCCTTGAAATGAAAAAATTACAGAGATATGGGAAATTACAGACTTGCCAGAGACTAAGGAAGTGGCTGTGACTGTAAAAGGATAGCAGGAGGGATCTTTAAAAGTGTTCTGTATCATTTCTGGTGGTAGTCACATGAATCTAAATATGGCAAAATTGCATAGAACTAAATACACAAGTGAATACATGTAAAACTGGTGAATCAGATGAGGTAAGGACTGAATTATATCAATGTCAATCTCTTGGATTTGGTATTGTACTATAATGATGCAGAATGTTACTACTGGAAGAAACTAGTGGGATAGTATATGGGATCTCTAGATCACTCCACAATTATTTAGATGAAAAAAAAATTTTTTTTAATCAATGCACGGGTTTTGAAGAGCTTTCTTAGAAAGTGCTATAAATGGGTGACTTTCGTGATATATTCTGGGTGCTTGAAGAATTTACATTTTGCTTGATGGTTCTAAAAATCTCAAATAGCTAGATTCTGGATACACGAGGCAATATTTGTATTGTCTTCCTAACTGAAGTGAACCTATTAAGGGCAAGTTCTGTCAGATGTCTTTGTATTCACAGTATTTTGCTCAAGGGTTCAAAAAAAATGTTTAATGATAATTGGGCAGAAAACCTTTGCTGGGAAGATGCTGTGTGGGGGCAGATGGAACCTCAAATGGGCAAAACTGAAGGTGCTATGGCTGATTGTAGCTGTAACAATTAGGTTTGTGGAGACAGGTAAAAATCCTTTAAAATCGTTAATCTCCCTTTGTACGTTAAAAAAAAAAATTAATTTCTTGGGTGCTCAAAAAGGATCGTGAAAGGGACCATTACGAGATAAAGAGTGGCCTTGATGTTCCAGTAAACCCAGCCTAACTGCAGAGGCAGAGATTCAGACTACTGGAGAGGAGTCGTTAAGAACTGAAATGGATCTTCATAGAATCTAGTGTTACCTATTAGAAGAAATGAGGCGACTTTCCCAAATAGTAATTAGTTACTTTCCCTGTTTTGTTAGTGGGTGAACTAGAAAATGGCTTCCAGCTCCCAGTCTGGTGCTCTTTCCCCCTGGACCACACAACCCTATTTTCCTCTTTCCGGGCACTTCCTCCCTTGCCTGTTGCAGTTCCTGAAAGAAACAATTTCTAAGTACCACTTAAATAACCACAGCGCTTAATTCGGCGCTTGGCTTGCGGGGAAAGCTTAATGCTTCTCCAGTCCCCAACGTAGTCTAAAACAACCGTGGACTAGAGGAAGAAACTTGCAGCGTACTTGCAGAGCGCAAGCGCAGGACAGAGAAGGCATGTCCTCTCTGAGTTGCCGTAGGCGCTAGGTGGCTTGGCCTCGTAACCCCCACCCCCTTCCACGTCAGCCGAAGACTGTGCGGAGCGGCGGCTGCTGCTGCGGGTTGGAGCCGGAGTCTACGGTCCCACCGTTGCCCTAGCTGCCGCCCCTTGGAGCCAGGTAGCGGGCTACAAGCCCCCAATCTCGGAGGCGTGTTGGGCCGGGCTGAGTCGGAGGAACTGGCTCTCCGGCGGGAAGATGAGGAAGGGGAGCGGCTAGGCCGCTCGCGTCCGGGCCTGGCCAAGTGGAACGGGGGGCTGGGAAGCTCTGGGCCAGACGCCCCTTCCCGTCCTTGCGTACTGACCAGGGGTCTGAACTCTTCCCGGGCTCCGGGACTCACCATTCCAGGGCGGGGGGCTGCCTTGCAGGAGGAAGAGGAGGGGTGGGGTGCAGCGCACCCATTGACCCTCGGACACGCAGTCGCGTCCACCCATGAACGCGAAATGTTTGCAGATTTTTAGCTGAGTACTCGTGCGCAGGTCTCTTGAGCAGTTCAGATTGTGTGTTATGTTCAAAAATCATTGTTCTGTTAAATGGTGGGGTGGGGCTGGAGGACTGTCACTGTATTGTGGGCCTTAGTGTTGCAGTACAGCATTCTCAAGTCCTGGGCGGGTTTGTGGGGTGGGAGATAATATACCTTAGACCGAGGCAGACCGTGTTTTTTATTGTTAGGCATTATTTTTATGGGACCACATATAAACTGATCCCACTCTTCTAATACTTTAAACTCACTAGCCAAACGGAATGAACTTTAGACAGTAAAGATCACAATAGTTACTGGTTGTGTTTTTGGTTTTTTACTTGTAACGATAGCCTTGTATTTCTTTTTCTAGATTTTCTGGCATCTGTCATCCTTAAGTCTTGTATCGAGATTTGATTATATCCCGAAACCATGACGGCTGCTGAGAACGTGTGCTATACGTTAATTAACGTGCCCATGGATTCAGAACCACCATCTGAAATTAGCTTAAAAAATGATCTAGGTAAACTCTGATAATATTTTGAAAATTAAATGGAGAA